TATATGTACATAAGTGGACAAGGGGGAGGAAGACAAGCAGAGGAGGGATGGTGGAAAAGGGATTTTACAACCTCTTAGGCAATTCTGCCTTCCTCCCATCTACATTGCCTCCAAACTTAAAAAGGGCTGTGGAAGCTCAGTTCAGATATTATCTAGAAGATGTCTACCCACATACTATGCAGCTGGCAAGCCCACCTCTGTGGTCCAGATTCTTTATTCATCCAACAGATTATCTAGAGAAACACCTTTAGTCTGGTGCAGAAATCTATGAACATCAAATAGCATGCACAATTTCTTCTTCTCTTTTTTTTCATTGAAGGCATGGAGAACAGCCTTTGGACGTTCCTGCACAGGATCAGTCTGTTGCCAGCACCCCAGTGGAGTTAGCTTGTTTCAGAGCAACACACTTGCCTCCCTTTGCTCATTCTCAATGCCAGCAGCAACATACTTCTGCTACCATCCTCTTCCAGTGCTTAAAGTATCTGTTTCTCTCTCCCTACTTGAGAATCTAAACAACATAATGCTAGCTGGGACTCCTGCCACTCTACACTAACAAAGACAGAACCCTCCTCACCACATCTGCTGCTGAAATGCTCAGTGGTGTACCCTGGCTTATGTAATGGGACAACTACATTGGTCCCACATCCTGATGTCTAGTAAGGGCACAAAACCAAACCAACCAGAACCAAATAAACCTTGAAGCAATTTCCCGGTAACTCCCCCTTCCAAAGGTGGTTTCTAAAGGGAAAACCCCAAAGAGCTGCTTGCAGTCTCCAGGCTGACCCACATTCCTGCCCTAGGCTCACCTGTGCTGCAGGTACCAATGGCTGTGCTGTTTCCCCAGCTTCTTATTTCTCAAACTAAAAAAGGAAATCCTTCTTTAATCCCCTCACACAAAGGAGGGAATTCATCCTGCATGCAGATGCCACCAAAAACATCTGTCCATTTGGACAAACATTCCTAAGCAACATTCAGTGCTGCTGAACATTTCTGCAGCTAACAAAGGGCTGACAGGTCAGAAGACAACTCCTAAGTGCTCAAGGGACTTGACTGCTGCCAATACTCAGCTGCAGTATTTATTTGTAGTATCTTCCATCTTCAAAAATGGAAGAAGATGAAAGACCCAAAGCATCAGTAACATCCACAGCAAATCCATCTCTTTTTTTACCACTTAGCAGGACAACATTTCTGATTATTAATTAAAAAAGCAGGCTATAAGAAGGCAACCTCCTCCACCTCTTCCTCAGCATGGCTGCACAGCTTTCACTGGTTGCATGCAGCTCCAGCCCAGGACAGAGGCAGAGCATCTCCCTTTCTTTCTGGAGATCTCCCCTCACTCCATCACGCAGCGCTCACACCACTGAGCACTGGAGAATATTCAGACAAGGACCTATGTAGGTCCTTCCTACAACAATCTGGAAAAAGAAGATACACACAACATACAAAGTTTTTCCACTAATTACAACACTGTTTATTTTGTTATTAAACCCAGTACAAGTCTTCCGAACTTTCCAGAAAAGCACTATCTGCCTCTTTATAACACCCCAGTGCAGGGTACACATACAAGAGATACGGTATGAGAAGTGCCATCAAACATGCTAGAGCCCTTTTAATCTCTGAGCCCCTGACAGATGATAGTGACAATAAGGAGTTTCACCAAATTTAGCAGCTCTGATACCCTTTCACATTCCTTCATGTATAAGACTCACTTTTACAAACTCTGCTTTCTAATGGGCTTTTAAAAGTGCCCCAAGAATGGCACTCCTTGCACTGAACCTTCCTGCATTAATCTCTGATGGATTCCATACAGTACATAAATAACGGTTCATGCTTCATTTTAGGTATGCACCTCATTAAAATGGTGCTACCCTCTTGTAAGTTTTATAAACTTCAGATGCTCCCTAAGCTAATGTATGCTAGAGATGATGAAAGGCTCAACCTGGTCTTTGCCCTGCACTAAAAGGGATATCATATTACCTTGAGAAGACAACAGATTTCCATCAAAGAAGTTCATCCCTTTCATGAAAGGCTGAATTCCCTTGATATCTTAAATAGAATTTGACCTGATTTGTGACCACCTAGAGTCAAATTATTTAAGCAGGACATCTACCTTTAATGCAATGTCTTGCTTAGTTTTAGATGACAACATACAAATGGGGAGCTGTGCAGAAAATATATCGTTTAAGGGTAAAGAAATACCAAACCACCATTCATACTTAAGCTGCACAGAGCATTATGCTAACAAATCAATAAAAGAAAAAGTACTTTAGGATTATTTTGGACATAAGCTATCTAGACAGCAGCTTCCCTGGGGAGCAGAAGGGTTACCTCCCTGCTGAAACAAATGGAAGAGCATTAACATTCTGTTAAAGGTTTCAGTATTTCAGAAAGGCTTTGATATTAGACTAAGTAATTCAGAAAGGCACAAAGAAAGCACATGGAAAACCCACAATAAGCACACACTTAGTACTGGAGCAATTTGAGGCAACATGATCAATCACTACTCAAAAGCAGGCACCTTTATTGAAGTCCAGAACTACGAATGAGTCTTGAATCTACACTGCTAAAAGAGACACATAACTTGCCATTGCAAAGAAGTGTATACTTCTTCAATTTCATTAGGTCTAATATAAGACAACACTGGGGGTTTGGTACTATTCCAAGGGAACAGAAACTAAACTCATTACTTTTTGTGACAGGGATCTTGGGAGGAGAGTCGCTAAGAGCAGGAAACAGTACACCCCCTCTGCCACAAATGGTCCAGTTGTATGTACCTGTGCCCAATGCCTACTGCATACAAGATAAATTACCAGAGCAAGCCTGAATAAAAGAGATAAGGCAGCTTGTAAAGACAGTTGCTACCTTCTGAAAGGCTGTCATGCAGCTCTGACTCTCCTATATCGTTGCTGACCAAGCGAAAACACTACAAGGAAGGAATACGAGTGCCTCTTAGGGTCATCACCACCATTTATGCATTGGTTACTCTTTGTCTATATACCTGCTACAGATAAAAGGGGAGTCTGCTCAGTGTTGGATAAGCTACTTGAAGCCAGCCATCCACTCCTGCAAGCTCCCCCTGCCCATCCCAAAAGACAATAGGCAGATATGCTCAAAGAAATCAGACATGCGATGCAAATTTTGGGCAATGTGCAGAGTTTACACACACAACCACACGCGGTCTGAGCCGACCGCTCACCAAATCCTCTCTCACTGCTTCCACGAGCAACAGGCAGCGCTGCTGCAGGGGTGAGAAGTCGTAGGAGCTGGGCACACACCCTCAGGGCTCATTGCCTGTGCAGGCCAAGTCAGCTAGCAAGTGAAAGAAGGTACAATGGTATTCACACAGAAATATACTCTTAAAATAAACAATTCCCTTAAGGACTTCACTGTTTCACTTCTTATAGGCTTTACCTCAAGCAAATGAATCATCTCTCCACTTAGAGATGGAAAGTAAAACTGTTCACACGTGCACCTCACCATTATCACTTTGCTACAATGCGAGAACAATCTTAACCGCATATAACTAATATTAAAGGTTCCTACAACTACATCATGTTATCACCAAATTATAGGACACTTGGACCTTAAAAGGAGTCTCCACAGAAGCTGTACAAATTGTACTGAAAAAAACACTTCAATACACCAAAACACAAATCACAGTGAAAAAAAAAAAAATAGAATCATATAGCAAATCATATCAGAATATTAACAGATTATTAACTTCAAATTACATTGAGCCAAACTGCAAATCAGAAGTATTTGCAAAAATACCAGGGCTACCACATGTAATGAAAACACCTGTAACATTCAAGTACAAATAATTTTCTATTTAACATTTCCATTGTTTTATATTTACAAATTGCTCTATTAAGCCTCAACAACTTTTAACAGATTTTCTAGCTCTTTCCACAGGCTAGAAAACTCTCGGACTTCTGGGCTATTTATGTTTCATGTCTTACACTTTGAAGAACACAAAGGTTATTGTCTTTTCATTAAGATTTTAATCTCTGGAAGAAGCAATCAGCACTGAGGCTGGGTGCCTAAGGCTATTTCTTTCAAATGGGAATGAAGAGAACTCTAAATGCCCTGCAGATGCGGAGGTCAAGAAGTTGGTTAACAACCTCCCTTGCGTAGGCTCCTGGAAGCAGTGTCCTGGTCTCTACCTGTAATTCGTTCTATATTTAGAAAATACAATAGATTGTCAATGACAAATGTTATTTCCTGTTAGCGATGCTATTTAGTTCCAAGGGATAGTTACTGAGGACTTGATTTCTCCCCGTACATCCACTCCATTATGGATTGACTACAACAGGAATGGGAGTAAACAAGGCTCACTCACGCTCTGAAAAGCTACTGTCGTATCTACTGTCTATGTTTTTTGTTCTACTCTCTAAGCCGGGCTACATTAGTTAGAATATATATGAGGCACATGTAAGATTTATACTATTAGAACTCACTAATATAACAGTATTTCACCTCTTCATTAAACTTTTAAGGCTTTAAAATTATTTCTAGCTATCTCCTACAGCCTAATTAATCAGGTGAAAATCAAAAGTAACTGTTTCGGGTAAAGGCTTCAGCTTTAACTGCAGTAAGCAACTAGTTAAAGATGTTTAAAAACGCTTAAAGCATCTCTCCTAAAGAATAACTGAGCACAAAATTTAACTTGAATATTATTAAATATTAATTTAACTACTAAAGCACTGCAATCTCCTTCACAGTTTGTCCCAGCCGCTACAGACAACGCTGATGCACAATACAGTCAGAACAGAACTTTTCGTACTGTAACAACTTTCTCTGGGCCATCCCACATTAATGGAAAACAACGATCCCCATGCAAGACACCCACTTTAATTCAGCAATCAACGCATGCCACACGCACCGTTCAACTGTTCAAGAACCAGGAGCGGTGCCGCCGCACGCTGTCAGCCAACCAGTGCCCCCCCCCCCCCCACTGCCACTGACTGGCCCCCTTCGGCCGCGCAGTCTCCGGCCCCTACCCAACACAAGTGCTCGCTCCCAGTCACGTAAGTCCTAACGCGCATCCACTTTTATGAGTTAACGACCGCTCCCCAGGACCGCGCCACCCTCGGCGCTGGCCGGGGAGGAGCGGGGCAGGAGCAGCCCCAGCCAAGAGGGCGCGGAGCCGCCGCCGCCGAGTTGGGAGGGGGGGCCGCTTCGGCCAGGAGAGGCGTGTCCTCCTGGCGCTGCTGTCAAACGCCGCCGGCCCCGCCGCTCCGGCGGGCGGCAGGCACTGACGCTCCCCGGGATCTCCCGTGCTGCACTCACCCGTCGGGGCTCCTGCTGCCTGGCAGCCGCGACCACCCCGTACACACAGACACAAAGTCCCTCCGAAAAGGAGCTCTGTTGGTGCAGGGAAGGAGAGCCGCCCCGCTCCTCTCGCCCAGGGAACAGATCCCGCTGCCCGCTCTTGCAGCTGCGCCCCTGACCCAGCCATCAGCGGTTTTTCACCGCCGCGCCGGGCGCTCAGCCCGCCCAGGAGGGGAGCGGGCAGCTCCGGGAGGCCGGGATGCAATGTCTAAGCATGGGGCAGCCCTGTCCTGACCCGCTGCCGCCTTCACCGAGGCGGGGCTGGCGAGGGGTGGCAAGTGGAGGCACCACAGAGAGGAATGCGGGGGACAGGAACGAGGGAACTGGGCCGCTATTTTCCTTTCCCCACGGCGCCCGGCGCGGCTTCGGCGGGCGGAGGTCACGGTGGGCGCCCAGGGAAGGAACACGACCCCCGCCTCAACTCCCTTTACTCTCCCGCTCCTCCCTGCCTCCCTCTCTCTTGCCGCCCGCCACTGCAGGAGGGCCGCCGCCACTCACCGAGCGGGCGGGAAGCGGGTCCGTTCAGGCTCACGCGCCTGTCAAGCAGCTCCTGCCGTCGCCCGCCTCACGCCGCCGCCATGTTCCGGGGGCACCGCGCATGCCCGGCAGCTGCACCGGGGGCGCGGGCCTCCCTCCTGCCGACCACCTTCCGCCCGCAGCGGAGGAAGGCGGCAGCGGAGCCGAGGGCGGCTGGGGCTGTGCAGCCTACGCCGGGAGCAGCGCGCTTCGCGGGGGTCGGGGCTGCCGGCATGCTTGCACTTTCGCCCCTACCTGCGGGGGGCGGCCTTGCTTGAGCCGGCACTGTACGAGTCGAGCTGCCCCGTCCGGGGGGCCGTGAGGCAGCGCCGAGCGCAGCGCGTCCGGCGGCTCAGCGGCCATTCGCGTCTGCAGTCCTCCCACGTTCAGACCCGATACCGGACCCTCGTGGAGCTGGGGGGAGCCTGGCACCCCGCTGCCCCGGAGCCATCTTGCGGCGGGGCAGGAGGCGCCGCGCTCCCCTTCGCTTCCTGTCGCAGGGAGCGCTTTGTGAGGGGGGGAAGGTGACACTATGGCAGGTGTTTCTGTCGGAGACCTCCGTGTGAGCGGTTAACGTCTGGAAAATATGTGAGGAACTAAAGGCAAGGCTTTCAGCAGAGAAACTCGAGGGAAGCGCAGCGGTGCGCTGAGGGCACACCTGGCCTGCCGGTGGTCACCCTCGTGCGGTGCATGCACCGGCTCCGCGTTGGACATGCACGGGGATTACAGAGTTGTGCACGTCTTCTTGAGATCTCATACACCGTTATTTTACCGAGATCCGTGCTTAAAAATAACTGCATAACTGTTGAAAAGTACGTCCTTGAAATTTTAGGGGGGTACGTTCCTGTGTTATAAGCAGTGGGTGCTAAGAGGCATATATATCCGCAGAGATATCCATAGGGATATCTGGTGAGAAACAGCCTCTTAAATACTCTCAACTTTGGGGCATTTCATGCCCAAGTTTCATTTTCACTATTTACATCACTGGAAAGTGAAATCTTAAGCTCAAAACTGCTAAGGTCATGAGAGGGATTCTAGGATGGTTTTCAATGAAAAAAAAAATTTAAAAGAAAAAAAAAAAAAGGAAATCCAAATACATGCTTGAAACCCCCTCAAACTCTTCTATGTGAAAGTGAAATTCATACACCCAACTTTTGTATCTTGCACATATTGCAAGTTACTACTACCAATTTATTTTATGCACTCTCATAAGCAGTAAATGGTTTTCTTCAGAAACAAAGAAAACTAGTCCTTGCCATAAATGATTTAGTATTTAGATAACATGGGAGAAATAAAAATATGCTAATTTGGGTGATTAAAAATATACAAGAGAAAGACAAATACTGAAGCATGCTTACAGAAAATCTTTATAGCAAAGTACGGTATGCTCATAACCAATGCAGATGGATGCTGCTTAATTTGAAATATTTTCCCCTTTCTGTCATACTGAACTTTTGCAGGAATACGAGAGATTATGCTCATTATGAACGCAGAAATGTGCCAAGCATCACAGAATAAGTCCTTGTGGGAGACAGAAACAAAAAAATATTTTAAAGATATCCTTTGTCAGTGACTGATACAACATCTGAGGAACTTGTTCCCTGTGAGCCAGCGGGATGATGTGAATTGGCACAGTTCTCTACCTGCTCAGAATTTTCTTGAGAGGCTGAAATCAGGAAGCAAGTCCAACATTAATCCTATTTCTTAAGCCACTGGTGCGGTGAAACAGAGAATAAACAATAGATGTAAGAATAAATGCCTATAAGATCACAGGTACATCTCTAATCCAAGAGCCAGATGGGTCCATTCCATCTTCACATGTTCTCCACCTGTGAGCTATAGCTGATGTAAAGAAAAAAAATTCCTTACAGGATTATTAGAAAAGGAGTAAGTAGTCCTGCCTGCTTCCATTCTCCATCAGAATGATGAACTTTTTTTCCCGTGACACACCCATCATCTTTCATTTTCTATTATAGGTATTAAACTGAATCATTTGGGTCAGAAAAGCCAGGCAATTTTTAAATTCTCAGTGTTTTTTTTACAAAGAGGGAGAGAGAAGTGTATGCATGTATATGTATATCTCTCTATATACAAGCGTATACACAGTACATGTACATACACTCTGGCTTCACAGGTTTTTTTATAGGGTGATTCCATAATTTTAGAAAGAACCAACAATACCAAAACAAAACTGAAATATTTCATGGAGGTAGACTGCAATGACATTGTACAACCAGTCAATATAATGTTATGGAGCAAGTAAACAGGATACTTTTAAGCAGTTAAAACACAATGAGCAACAGCCAACACAGGTTTGTCAAGAACAGCAGATGTCAAACAAATCTCATCCCTCTTACAACAAAGTAGGAGGAATTGTCAGTGGAGGAGAAACATTGGATGTCATGTTGGATGTCACTTTAGTTAGATTTTTGACATGGTTTCATGTGATATTATTTAAGTAAACAAGAGAATGAGGATGAAGGTATTTAGGGAGCTGATGCGAGCAGCTCATTGTCAGAAGGATGTTAATGAACTTGGGAATGGTACAGAAAACATGTTTACATAACTGTAGATCATACCAAATTGAGGGGCTTTAGCATGCTGGAGAACAAATGTACGATTTAGAAGGATTTTCACACACTAGAGATTGGGTCTGAGAAAAGGAGGGTACTATTCAACAGATACAGCAGATATGATCAGCTGTACAAATGGAAAGGGGGAATTATCAGGTGTTCTGCAGGGAAAAAAACTTCAATTATGTGAAAAAGTAAAAAAAAAAAAAGAAAGACCTGTAGTTCTTTGAATCACAATCTGTACGAAAGGGACAGTGTCAGGGACCTGCAGTGAGAAAGTCAAATCACATAAAACAATACAAAAAGAAGCACACTTCACTTTGTGAAACAGCCTCATTTACATGGCTTTAGATAAGCTCAGTAGCTGTGGTCTGGCTTCAGTAAATATGTAGCTCACTAAAAGTGTAAGAAAGAACAACCTAAATGATAGGACAGCTATAAAATATGCCCTATAAGGAAATTCTAAAAAAAAAAAATCAAAAAAAAAAAACCAAAAAACAAACAAAAACAAAAAACAAAAACAAAAAACAAAAACAAAAAAACAAAACAAACAAACAAACAAAAAAACAAACAAAAAATTAAAAAAAAAAAACAACTAACCCCAAACTCAAAAGGTATTTATGTCGAAGGGGGAAAAGTGGAAGAAGGGAAAATAACATACGTAGCTATACAATACAGATATGAGTGTATATCCAATATATGAAAGATTGCTGTAAAGGGAAAAGGATGGATTTGTTCTCCAGTTCCACAGGTCAAGAGAGAACAGGTTTAAAACACAGCAAGGGAGATTAGAAAATAAACATAAGTTCAGGGAAGAAGATCATATGGGTGGTTCTGGAGCCTCTAGCTTCGGACTCCCTAAAAAGAGCTGGGGACCACTGCTCATAGCTGGCACAGGTAGAATGGTCCTCAAGCACAGGGTGGACTCAATCCCCTTGCATGGTCCTTGCCAGAAACATGAGTCAATGAACATAAGCTTTCTTTAAGACTACTGGTAAGTGCCAGCTTCCTCAGGAAGAGGATTTTATTGTTTCTGCAATGAGCATGCCACTAGCTTCCAAAAATAAATTGTTTCAATAAGAATTTTAAACTGGCTGTCTATTTTCTGAGTCCTCCTTCATTCAAGCTGTCACAGTGTGATTGTCCTATGTAGCAAAGTACATGACAGATACACGCGAGGATGCACAGTTTCATTACCTGAAGAGAGACATAATTTAGACATAAATAGGTCTGCATTCTACTCACAGTTATATGAATTCAACAGATATTATAGATTTTTATCTGACAGCAAGTTTAAAGTTTGTGCTTTGCCAAGAATGAAGCCTCAAAAGTCCTTCAAGGCATATGAACTGTGACAATGACATTCTTTTAATAACATCTTTTTTTTCTTTTTTTTTTTTTTCTTTTCTGCTTGCTTGTAGAAAATGCCACCACCACCTTCACACCTTTTAAACTGTGTAGATTAAGAACAGGAAGAATTACAGATGACAAGTGTAAAGAACACTCACCACGACTATATTAAGTAAAAATATTCAGACATTCTAAAGCAGTTTCATCTAATGCTGTAATGTTACAGTCTATGCATAAGGTGTTTAAAGATGTGTGTACGAACTGGTAACACTGAAAGAAAAGGAGTTATTTTTCATTTGCATGGCTGCAAACCTGAAAATAACTTCTCTGAGGTAAAGGATGCTCACAGCAATAAGTGGGAATAGAGTTTTGGCCACACAGCTGTTAAAATATTTGCCTGTAATAGGTAGAAATTGATTTGTAGGGGAAAAGCAGCGAGGAGCCAATTTCAGGTAAGATAGAATTCAGCTGTGGATAATCTTTTGCCATTGGATGGATAGTGATAAAAATTGCCCCATCAAGGGAAAGCAGATTGGTTTGGTTTTGTGTTACCTAAACAAGTGCTTCCTGCACAGTGACAAGCAAAAAGAAGAAAAAAGCTCTGCCTCCCAAATTGTTGTGGACAAAATACTGCAATAGATTTGTATTACCAAAAAAAGATAAAATTTGAAATGATGAGGAGACTTTTTTCCTAACATTTATCAAGTCCTTCAGGCTGTGTGTTGGTTGGATAAATTATATGCAGGGCTGGACAGAAAGTTGATATTCCCTCCATATGAATTTTCCATTTCTATTGTATATTTTTCCATAGCTGAAACATCAAAATCCTGACACATGATCACAGGCTGTCAAGAGTTAAACTGTTTCAGTAAATGGCAATGGTTTGTTTCAGTATTTCTAAATCCCCCATTTTCACCCTTTGTTTCTTTCTTTTCACATAAATTGCATTCTATTTGAATTGAAACAATTCAATGATCTTGAAACAGATGTTGTCAGAACTTTT